GGGTAGTTCACGGCCCAAATGGCATAAAAGAATGAGTTTTATGGTCCATGAGGGTTAATTGCTTCAATTATGGTCCAATAAGGCCCATTAAGGGTTAGAATGAATCATTCTAGGCCCAAATGGTCCAAAATGTTGAGTTTTATGAATGTGGGTCCATTTAGAGCCCGTTTAGGGTTTTCTAGGGCCAAAATAGTCAACTTGGATACTTATTGGTCCATTAGGCGCAATAAGAATGTCCTAGACCATAATAGACTTAATCCGGAATATTTAGAGTTTCAAACTCTTTGTTAAACATGATAGATGTATTTGAATGAGCATCGACTGATATTTACTTAGAGTGCATGCTTTAAAATAGTTGAATGATTACATGAGAATAGAATTTCATAGCTAAAATGCTAGTTGTGACAATGGCCAAGAACTCGGGGTTGATATGGGCCCGTTCGATTGAAATACATCGATTAAGTTGATAGGAACTTGTGCTAAAAACACCCATAAAGTTGTAGTTAAACAAACTTTCGGAAAAATATAGTGTTTTTTTATTAAAACTGGCTCTAATAGGTAATAGTGGCCGCGTAGAAACATTTTACCAAAAATTGGTGGCTTTTCCAAAACTTATTAAAAATTAATTGTTAAACCAAACTTTTGAAAAAATATAGTGTTTTTTCTATAATTAGTCTTAACTAAATGTATCAAAGAAAAACTTACTTTTTTCCTTCCCAATTTTATCCTACATATACAAAATTTTTTGGTTTGCCTAAATTACAAAATATAGGCTCCAAATATAAATTTTTGGGTACCCTCCAACTTCCAAGTAAAATATTTGGGTTTTGCTCCTATTTAACTAAGTTGGCCCATGAATTGTCTTTTACTCTCCTATTCCCACGCCAAAGTAAAACATCACTCTCAAACATGTGAGTCAGAGCCCTATCCCTTGTTCGTTATCGCCACACCCTCAAAGCTTTCTGCGCACCGTTGGCCTACGTCCTTTGTTGGTTCATCGTTGGAGCTTCACTATTCCTAGATGTCAAAACCTTTTGGTTCCCCCTAATAGTCTGAGAGGCGCTTCTTTGAATTATGATGTCATGCCGATATCGTTAAACCCTAATAACTAAGCCCAAACCAATCAATTGGAATCCCCAAATTACAAAGGTAACTCTTACTAGTTAAAGATTCTCCTATCTCTTAGTTTCAATTTCCACTTACGGTTAGAAAATAGGAATTATCAAATTACATTATGTTTCTATCTCGAATTATAACTTGATTGACTTTCACTCTCTATCAAAATGCAAAGTTGGAACTCCAGACCTCATTGTCTCATCTCTGTCTCACTCTATCACTCAGCCTCTTAAATCTTAATCTCTTATAGTTACCTAATTTCTTCAAAGTTTCATTTAAATCGTGATGCCAGTTAACATTTGGTATGAATCCAGTCATGCTATTTTTATTTCTTCCATTCTCAAACTGTAACCTAATATCCACCTGGAACCAAAAGTGTCCAAATCCGAAAACAAACCTAATGGTACTTGTAAGAAATTTTATATTTTAAATAATATGGTTTGTTCCCTGGTTATAAGATTTCAGATCCAATGTATGTTTTCTCGATTTGCAGTTGAAGCAGGATCATGTGCCTACAAAACTTGTGAAAAAAGAATATGGTAGAACAAGAAAAAAGAAAAAGTACTAGGAATATGAATACTAAACTTGTTGCTTGTATATTCAATCCACGCCATATTCGCCTTGAACCACATGATAAAGGTAT